ATGGCATCTGGCGGTTGGGTGGCGGAGCTTGATAAGAAAGAACACAAAAACTGGGTGATGGTTGGTTGTGCCCTGAATATTACCAAAAAAGGAATTACATCAAAAATTCAAAATAAAATGGAAACTTGGTACCAGTCCCTTATTTCCAGTCCTCCGCTTCAGTCACTTCCATCTTGCGCTTGCGCATCGTCAGCATCAAAGTGCCTCACTTGTGACACTTGGAAAACGACACTGAAACGTCACCACACATCCGGGCGACCAAAGATTTGCTGGGACAACAGTGACCGAACACAGTGGGGATCTCCGACTGGGGCATGGGAGATAGCTAAAGTCTTTATGCCAACTCTTGGAGGTCGTAAAAAAGATGTTGTCGACGCCGAAACTACGGACATTGGTGGTCTTTTGAACCTACTTGAATGGTGTCCTTTTATTAATCCTCCTACGAGTCGAACAGTTTTGACGTCGGCAAGAGATGAGTGCAGGAATCATTGGGCGCACGCTCCGAAACAGGAAATTCAAGATGCCGATCTTTCAACCATATTTGGTCATCTTAATAATCTGCTCAATGACGCTGTGTTCAGTTCTGACAAAGACGCCCAGCAATCGTCGAAAGACTTGCAAGATTTGTTTCATAAGGGTCTGGTAAACGTGAAGGAGTCTGAAATAGAGGCTCTTTACTTGCTTCGCCACTCACTGGTGGCTGATCTGACAAAATGCCAAGGTGACGTGTCTGACGCTCAGAGTAACATTTTGAACGTAGATGCAGAGATAAAAAGGATCAAGATGGTTATGCAGAGCGATTTAACTGACGTGAAAGAAAAAGGGGATCTAAACAGAGAAGAGATAAGCAAGTTGGCATAGCAGCTGGGTGAGTTAAAAGACGTAATGGCACATTATTCTAATGACCTATCCACCGTTCTGAAAGCTGTCGATGATTTCAACAGATTTCTGAATAAAAGGGATGACCTGCAAAAAGTCTTCGAAGCTATCCAAGATGACTTAGAAGTTGTCAAAACTAAACTGAGTGTAACACAGTCTAAAGTTGCCAACACTGAAACCTCCCTAGCAAGTTTGAAAGACAAATTGATAGAAGTGCAGAGAGTAGCAATGGAGACATCCACAGAGGTGTCTATTTTGCAAGAGAAAGTGGTAGTCTTGGAAAAAGGGCAAACCACACAAGAACAGAATGACAGTGATGATGACGCGTTGTGCACGGCTCCAAGTAGGTTACCACTGTTCACAGGTCGTAAGTCAGCTCTTGATTGGCTTGAAAAGAACCTCATTTTAGAGAGCGTTGAGGCCAACCCTGGGACTTCCTGTTGCACCAAAACAGTATGCGGGCTTGGAGGCTGTGGGAAGACATCTTTGGCTGTAGAGTTCGCTTGGAGGCACAAAAATAGCTTCCCAGGTGGGGTGTTCTGGATCAATGGCGAAAGCGATGAAAATATAAATAAATCAGTTGCTGAGATGCTTTCGCTGGGAAACATTCCTACCTCAACAAATGACAGCATCGATGACACTTTCAACAAATTCCTTACGTGGTTGTCCAAGAAGGACCTTCCATGGCTTCTTGTGATGGACAATGTGGACGAAATGCAAGATCCTATGTGTCCTGCAAGTGTAAAGAAGATATGCAAGGGACCTTGGCAAAGAACTGTTAAATCACTAAAGAACGGCCACATTCTTTTAACAACTAGGCAAAATGCAAAAGACGCAAAGGCGTTTCTGAGGTACTCGACTGATGATTTTTTAGAGTTGTCATGCTTTAGCGTAGAGGATGGAGCTTTGTTCTTAATGAAAAGAACCGATCTTCAAGGAGAATCCCTTGACCCAGATGCGATTTGTTTAACAAAAGAGCTAGGTGCATTGCCACTAGCCCTAGAGCAGGCAGCAGCATACATAACTACAAGTCCTATCCCACTGAGCTTTAATGAATACCTAGAAAAATACCAAGCAGTGAAGATGCGCCTTTTAAAGCAACAGCCTGCTACAGCACTTAGCATAGAGGCTCAACATCGCTTGTCAGTTCATACAACTTGGGAGTTGAATTTCGAGTTTGTAAAGGAACAGTCACCAGCTGCCGCCAGTATGATGCGAATTTCGGCCTTTTTGGATTCTGAGAATGTTCCCATTGACGTTATTAATCCTGGTCTGCCTGAATTAGATCAAGAGGAATTGAGAGAATGTGCGCGTTCCAAGATCGACATTGCCTCCATCCTTAAGGTACTGTCAAGTTATTCCCTTTACTCTGTCGATCATCGAAGCAAAGTCTTTAGCGTCCACAAACTTGTTCAAGAAGTGGTAAGAACCAGTCTTACCCCATCACAGAGGGAAGAGGCTTTGTTGGCAGCTACACGAGTTGTTTACTTGGCATTATGCACGCATAGTGTTCCCTGTTTTGAACAAGAAAAGTATGGTGCTTTGGGGGATCTGTCATTGTTAAAGGAAGACGAAAGGAATGTAATTGTTGCCCTTGTATTGAATTTCAACAAATTGAAGAATCATATGGAAGAGGAAATTCATTCATCAAAAAGAAATGTGGCTCGTGTACTTTACAATGATGACACCTTAAAATTGTGCAACTTAGTGGTCTCCTTGATCAGTAACAATGTGTTTTTTAACAGATTAAGGGCTGAAATGAGTGAATTTCGAATGAATGTTTCGAAAATGAGTGGTAATTCTGATCCCAATTCCGCTCTTGGGGCGATGGTTTCTGCAAGTATCAATTTAAGAAATTGTCCTGGATACGAAAAGTACAAGGAGGCGAAAAAGGTGGCATTAGAAACTGTACACAAGCTGGCTGAGATGGAAAAGTCTGGAATTGTTGTGAAACCCGATATCAAATATCTAGTTCTTGAGCATATGGCCTCTTATCACGCGTTAGAAGCGCAATGGAAAGAAAATTATAAAGCCTTGATGGAACTCGAACGTTTAGAAATCAACGATGAGAACACTGTAGACCTTCAAATCTTAATTGCAAGAGCAGAAAATCAGTTGTCAGCAAGTAATTCTAGGTCGGCTTTGGTGCGTTATAAGAAAGCGCTGGAACTTGCGAGGCGCATTTACCCCCCTGATCATCGCGAACTGTTACGTGTTTTACAGTTTATCACTTCTCATTTGCTTAATGAGGGAAAGGTTCACGAGGCACGAAAATATGCTGAAGAACTGTTGAACATTGCAAAGAAGCAACCACCAACATCAGATTTTTATTTCAAGGGAATAACGGATGCTCTACAAGTAATGTGTTTTTTCGACCCTAAGACAGCAGAAGATACGCTTTTTCGTATCTTGGAGGACAATTGGCCAGTCATGTATAAATGTATTCAAGGCGGTGATTTGGATACCGATGAATGTGTAGTCGACGAAAGCAGCCATGACCATGCAGCAATGGTTCTAGCGGGGATATTGAGCTGTTTCTTTATCTCAAGCGAAAAAAAGAGAAAAAGAAAACAGGCAAGATGTAACGGCAAGTTGTACCGAAACATTGGAGAGATGTTATTGTCACTGCGAAGGAAAATGTATGACGAGAACCACCAAGAAGTACAAATGGCATATTCTAATCTACTAAAGGTATTCACTATCCTTGGAAATGAGGAGGAAGCCTATAAGCTTGTAGAACAAATGAGGAGAAGCAACGAGAAACCAGTCACTAAACTATTTTCCGCAAGGCCTCTTTGTGATAATAATGTTTTGATTGCTAGGGAGTTCAAAAATACTGCGAACGACTATTTTAAGGCACAAAAATATTCCAAGGCACTAGAGTTCTATCAAATGGCGTTAGACCAATTCCCAAATGATGCAAAAATACTAACAAACAGGGCGATAACATACGTCAAACTGTCAGAACAACAAGCACTTAAAAGCCATGGTAAAGATCCTAAAGAAGACCAACAAATATTTCTTCAATATGCTCTTCAGGATGCGAACAAGGCAGTGAGCACAGATCCTTCTTGGGTTAAAGGTTACTACTGGAAGGCGGTTTGTCTCGCTAAACTTGGACAAAGAGGTCCATCCCTTGCTGCAGCTGCAGTTGCGGAACATCTCTTTCCATCAAAGTGTACTGATATACCTGCAGTGATGGAGCGCTTTGGAAGTTGTAGTGCACAGGTGATAACTACTATCGATGACCTTTATCACGCCGCCAAGAGAGCAGGCGGCAACAATCTTGTGATTTTACTCAAAGAAGGGAGATATGAGTTACCGAACCCACTGAAAGTTCCAGCGAACGCAGTAATGGTTGGCATCGGAAAAGTCCAAATTATTTGCCCCAAGAGTGCTCCACTGAAACTGGATGAAAACGTTTACACTGAGAACATAGACCTGTTATCTTCAACTGATTCAATCAAAATTTTCAAAGAAAAGGCTAAGGAGAGTCTTAATCGTGGCCAATTAGACGAGGCTTTGTCTTTGTACAGCAAGGCAATAGCCATATGTTCAGAAGACGCACAACTCCTAACAGCTAGAGCTTCAACCTACTTGAAAGCGGCTGAGGAAAAGAGAAACATGTCTGAGCGGGTCTCCTTACTGGAGCTTGCTTTTAAAGATTCAGAGTCTTCTATCAGAGCGGATCCTTCTTGGTTATTAGGTTACTCCACCAAGGCCATGAGTTTAGCAGAGTTAGGGAGAAAACACGAAGCCTTGGCCGCTGCTGCTGTCTTCAATCACTTGAGTTCTGGTCGGGATATTTCTTCAGTAATTGAAAGTTATGGAGCTCTACAAATCGATGTTGTTAAAAACTCAGATGAACTGCGCAATGTTCTTCAAGAAATCACGGAGCGTGAGGACGTAAATCAAATTGTTCTGTTAAAAGAAGGGGATTACCTATTGGAGAAGACCGTTGAGATGAAACCAGCAATAGTTATTGTTGGTCTAGGGAAAGTAATTGTTTCGTGCAAGACTGGAGTACCTTTTCACTTTAGAAAAGAACACTACGTCGAAAATGTGGAACTTCATAGAGGCTGTGGCGAGACGCTAGAATCACAAACGATTGCGAGTTCAACAGATGACTCTGGTCAGGAAGACGTTATATCTTTGCCTGTACCCTCAGGGTATGACAACTCCAGCGCCAACAGCGAGTGCAAGGTGAACTAACAAGAACCAAAAAGGAGAGTTTCACGCAAAGTTAATAACCGTCACGTGTCATAAGCGCCATCCAGCAAGGCAGACGGGCAGTTCAGCGCAGCTGTGTGATATCAGACGAATGTATTTCGCTAACAGTCTGGTGTACTGACATTGAAACAGTTTCATTACCCTCGCACTGAAATTGCTGAGACACGTCCACTCGTCGGACTGTATTTGCCTTGTATTTTGGATGGGAAACTGAAACTCCTCACCTCCGATCAAATTTACTTTGCTAGTCGCTGCCATAGACCACATGACCTGCGGAGGATCAGGGAGGGAGAAAAAGCAGTGGAAACATCTTGTTCAGTTTACTGAGAGGAGGAGCTGTTTCAGTAGGAGAAAATGTTGTTGGAGGATTAAGTTGAGTTCCCTGAACCGTCGGGAGGATTAAGTTGACTAGCATTGGTTTCCAGTCGGGGTTACCGCAAACCCAAGTTCTTAATTTTTCTGGTTTATATTAATTTGCCTATACGAATAATCAAAGCTCTTCTGCAGGGCTTTCCCTCCCATTTTCTAAGGGGAAAGCCCTGGGTACGATTTGTTGGAGGATTATCGTTATTTCTTAGAAAATGGATCATTACTAAGGGCCTGTTCGCCCCATTATACTACTACGTGAGAAATTTCTGCAATTTGATTGGGCTAGAGCAGTGGTATTTCAGCTTAATTTGAAATACCTACATGTGAAGATTACAAACCTTTTGTGGGTAGTAGTATAAACAAATAATAGCATGATTTGTACGTGATATTTGGCATAAATACCACGAGTGATATTTCAAAATTGTCTCAAATTTCACTCGCCTAACGGCTCGTGAAATTACGTATAACAATTTCGAAATATCACTCGTGGTATTTATGCCAAATATCACTACTAATCATGCTATTACGTATACATATCTTAGTGAGCGTAAGCGTTTTTGAGCGACGAACGTCAACCGGAAGTGGTCCTTTTTCATTTTTGGACAGTGTTTTTGCCCAACGTTTTAGACAAATCGTCTCCACGGTAGTAAAGACACTTTAAAAAATTTGGTATCGTCGAGGTGCTTTAAAATGGAGAAGACCTCACGTCCGGTTGACGTACGTCGCTCAAAAACGCCATTGCTTTTAGTTCCCTAAATTTCTCGTTTTTACAACCTTGTACGCATCTGAGACACCTGAAATTTTTCGTGTAACAAGAAAAGTTAATTAAAGGAACTTTAATTGGTCAGGTTCACGAAATTAGATGAGCCGACGAAGGACAGCTGTAATGAAACAAAGGATTTTGACGCCTGACAAAAAAATTCCGATAGGCCTCCAAATATTCTCGACGGCATTTTTGAAGGATATGCCAGAGGCAAGAGCAAGAAGTTGTTAGCTGCCGCAACTAGAACAAAATTGTCAGGTTTTTTGCCGAAAATTTAACACGTTGTATTAAAGGTTTGAGCCTTTGACATTTGCTTAATGTTAACTTTTGAACTGAGAAAGACGCTAGGCAAAGCTCCGTTTAGCGGCAAAGATGCAAAAACAAAGCACAACTTGTCGAAGAAAAAGTACCTAGGGGACTTTAAAAACCATAGGCGTGGTTTTATGGTTCTATTTTGAGTAATTATTCGGACAAGGGATATTTGGAACCAGGGTAAAGACATCCTTAACGACCTTTATCTTTTTAACTAGTCAGTTTTGTCTTTTCAGCTACGTCCTAAATCAACAATGTTGGGAGTTGTTGCGTCCATGTTGGCAGTTGTGTGCAAACATTCTCGTCCCCAGAGCCACTCGGCTTAATTTGTAACGATCCAGACCACGTGGCCAAGAAACGACGGGCTCTGGGGACGAGAATGGTGTGCAAATGGCTGCAACAACTCCCATCAATGTTAGGACTTGCGGTGCATCTTGGGAAGGATACAACCCATAGGACTTTGCAAACTATGTGTAATACGTGTGCGTGGCTCCAACAATGTTGGAAGAGATGTGGCAAACGGATCAAACACAGTTGCGCTCAAAACTTTGACCGGTTTCAAACTTTGAGCAACAACTCCCAACAACACGCAACAACATGCAACAGGGTGTACAAACGGACGCAACACGTAACATTCAACAATGCTGAGAGTTGTTAGCCAACAATGCTGCGTTAGATTGCATGGGGCTTCAGTAAAACATGTGGCGAAGAGAATCGTTGATTATGATTGAAATATTTCAGAGACTATCCTTGGCTTAAAAGAAACAAATCAATTCTGTGTCGTGCTTCATTTGTGTAGGAGCGAAAATATACTTTTAATCCGCGTGTTGCTAGAATTACAAAAGAGAAAATAACTGGAAATTTTTTAATCTAAAAGAGAGTTTTGACACGATTCAAGAGGGATCACATTTTTGAGTTTTTTATTTTGTAGTAAATATGTACTAGGCTCGTTACTGTAGAGTCGTGTTGTTGCATTTCTAGCTGGGACGGTGGGGCGATCGCAAAGACGTGGGCATAGTCCGGGTGTGCAGGGGGCACACCCCCCGAGATGATCTGCGGCTTTCTAATACAACTGGTATTCTGCCAAAAAAAACCTTTGTGTTTTATCGGTGCTGAAGTAAAACATCAGACGAAGTTGAAGAATTATGTTAAACGCCGTAAAATTTTAGTTAAAATGGTAGTTCCTTAGGCCCGGTTCAGACGCCGAACGTTTCGTGAGCCGAACCTAATTCGAATTAAGGCCGACCCAGATTATTAAGATTGGCTGAATTGATTCAGACGCCGATCTTAATTGCAGCTCAACTAAGTTTAAAACGCGAAAAATGCTCATTTCGGTCAAACTGCTCGCAAAATACATTATAACAATTCATGCATTAGGTTCGTTACATGAAAAATTCGGTGTCTGAACCGAGCCTTAGTGATGCACCCACTCCTAAGTAAAATTCTGCATCCCCCCCCCCCCTGCGTTAGTACATCTAAAGCTCTTCTTCTCTTGATTATAGCATCGTAATTTTTGATTTTGCAGGATTAGTCCATTAGATCTATAATGGAGGTCAAAAGTGTTGGACCTTTCCAGTGATTTTAGTAAAACTAGCGACCCTTCCCCTCCCACCCCAAACAAAGTTGAATTTTGAGCAAAATGGGTGAAACTAAGTCCTTTTTTTGGCCACATCATTTGCTGAGGCGGGGGGGGAGTGGGAGGACGCCGGGAGGGACCCAAAGCGGATCAAGAAATTGTTATTAGGAGCAGAGTTCTATGTAACAATTACTTAGAAGGGTTTTCCACACAGTCCCAAGTTCTTTTGGCCTCCATTGAAGAAGGTAAGGAAATATATTTTCTACTGACCACAGGGAGCCCGAACGCTATATTGACTATTTATACTTGTTTTTAGCATGGTAATCAACAAAAGTACTTAGTATTTCGACAACAATTCTCATTTTGAAGTGAATCATTTACAGCTATAACAGTACTGTAGGCGACTTACGGCATTGCGTACACATACCATGGTCAGAGCTCTCCTCAAACTGAATAAAAAAATGAATCATTGCAACAATTTCTGCAAGCCTTCAACCGGAAGAGAATTTCCCCCTCATTTTTGGGTGGAAAAATTATCTAAAGACTTCACTGTGAGAAACTCTTTTTCAAGATTTTTTCTTTCTTCTTCTACTGAGAGAGATTTTTTCCCCCACTATATAGATGGAAATATTATCTAAAGACTTCACTGTGGAAAAATCTTTTTCAAGATTTTTTTCGCTTTCTTCTACTAGCCTGCGCGCAGACGAAATTAAACTCTGGTTAACTCCGTCTGCGAAACAGCGCCGAAATCCTTGTTCTGGACTTCCAGCTGTGTACCCAGATTTGAGTACGCGCCACGATTGGTCAGTTAAAAAAGGCCTTTGTTTTGTTTGTCGTGATCGCCAATCAGGTTGAAGGGAAATTCGAAACGCACTTCCGGTAATTCGTTGAGTCCGTTGGGGGTCCAGAACAGGGATCTCTGCGCTGCTTCGCAGATAGCCTGTTCCAAGCGTTCAGATAGTGGAGAGCGGTGCGAAGTAAAGATAGCGATACTTCGCAGACGGTACTAATCAGAGTTTAGTTATCGTCTGCACGCAGGCTATCTTCTACTGGGAGAATTTTTACACTCATTTTAGGGTGTAATTTTTATCTTAAAGACTTCAATATGCAAGAAGGTTATTCTTCTTTTTCTTTTTCCTTCAACTGGGTGAGTTTTACCCTCAGTCTAAGCCTTCGGCGGGATTTCTGGTTTTGAAAATTTCAAACAAGACATAGTAGTTTACGCCAGCTCTCTTTTTAAAAGCGGAAAGTTGGGGGAATACCTTCAGGGTATCTACTTGTGCCCCTGTGGGCTTTTCTTTAGAATGGTTAGTATATTCTACAGGCATGCTTTCCCTATGTCTCTGTAATGTAATTACAGGGCCTCCTTGTCATTATTATTATTCTCTTCTAAAAAAACGCCTGATCGCGGGTCAAAAGGAATGCTGCTATAGTATAAGCTGTGAAAGCACGCGGCGGGGGGTACTTAGAGATGTTTTATAAGGGAAGGTTCCGGCTCGAGTTGACAAATGGTACCTCTTTCACATACCTCATTTAGAAATTCCCTTTAGCTGCTGTGAATTACTGTCTTTAAAATAGGGAGATTAAAGCACAAAACTAGAACGTTTCTCGACTATTTCACAGCCATAAAATGCATCTGTAAGCCCTTTTTGGCGTTTTTTCAGACCGAAATTCCAGATTTTTATAGAATTGAAGGCAAGGCGATAAGGTGCTTTTAATTTTAAGTGTTATTCTATATTGTCGATACTGATTCACACCAATATCTGACTTTCCCTCGCTGCGGTTTGTCCAAGTGATCCTTACACAGAGTTGTTCCATTTCCTTATCCTTTCTATCTTGCATGGCAGGCGCAAAAAGGGGAGAAAGAGGGGGGAGGGTTAGGGTTAAGGCGGATTTAACCCTAACCTACTCCCCCTCCCTTTTTTCCTTCCTCCCTACCCCCTACGCTTTTGACGCCTAGAC